GGGGAGGGGCGGGAAAGAAGGAGATGGTTGGGGGATACTGACAACCCCACACTGAATGGCCCTGGACCACTGTAGGTCTAGAGGACAACTGGTGGCTGGCCGGGGCCTCTTACTCTGGCTCCTAGGCATGGTGAGTAGTGGGGTCAGTGCCATTCCTGAGCATTTAGGACTCAGCTGCTTCACTACCAACTCCCTTACAATGCCTGAGGAAGGAAACAGGCCACTGATGTCCACATGGCTCTAACATATCCAAGAGGTAGAGCTGAATGACCAAACTCTGGAAGTGAATGCTACACTTCTCTTGGTAACTGTTATTAGCAAAATGGACAACAAAATACCAAAAACAAACAAACAGCTCAATGTTCCCAGCATCCTGACAATTAGTTTTTCTGGGAAAGGTCTGTGTCTGCCATAGCTATGTTGGTTATTCCCCAGTGCTCAGTTCAGTAAATAGTTGGACAGCAGGGAAATCTTAGCATGAAGTGTTGTTCTGGTTGGGAGTGGAGGCGCAGAAGAGCATTTAGCAAGTCCTTTGGTGAGAAACCAGGCTCTGCTTTATGGAGAGAAGGCTGAAGACACAATAAGACTCCTAGAGCTAAGTCTTATGTTATTTGTTATTAAAGAGGTGAGGTCTTAAGATGTGCTTTTTAACAGTCTTTAGTTTGGTGGTAATTTAAGATGACTTTTACAAATTAGATCCTAATCCTTGCAGACACAGATGGCTGTTACAGAATAGCCTTGCAAAAACACTAGTCATTTGACTTGAAAAAGCATTCAGAGAAGGATGAAGGGTCATTAACTCTCACCCCACCCCTGGCTCTAGGCGGTCTAATGAGTCCTGGGTGGGCTCTCTGGGTTTAGGTCTGAGTCTGGAATCTGGGTGGGCCTAGGGCATCTCTTCTTATTTGAAACAACCTCTCTAGTTCACCCTGGAATCAGAGCTTTAGGATCAGACCTGAGGTCATTAACATTCAACAACAGTAACTGAATGTTTATGGGTGAGGCACCATGCAGAACCAGGGGGGATAGACATGAGGATGATATGGACAGTCTCCGTAAACAATTACAGAAAAATAGGACAAGTGCTACTAGAGGGAATGTACAAACAGCAATGGGTACATAGTGAGGAGCTTGGGAGAAGGGGAGGGCTTCCCAGAGAGGATGACATTTCAGTTGCACATTAAAAAAATGAGTTCCAACAGGGCAGCAAAAGCGGGAAGAGTGGATATCAAGGAAGAAAGAACAGAGGCATGAGAGTCTCTTGTGTCTTTAGTGAATAGTGAGCAATCTCATATCTCCTGGTAATGGAAATAAGTAATGAGAGGCAGGGTTTAAGGTGGGAGAGGTAGGTATGAAACCAGACTGTGAAGAGTTTTTAAATACATTCTAAGGTGTCTGTACTTATCTAGGGCAGTAGGGAGCTACCCAATTTTTTAAGTAAGAAAGGGAATGATCAGAGTGGGATTAAAAAAAACCCCACTGGGTAGTGGGTAATTTCAGGTTGACCAAAAACCATAAAATGGACCCGTGCTGCATACTGGGAAGCTCTTGATTTCTCTTATAGGAAGAAAACTTTGCTTAGACTTTTTCTCTGGGCAACTGGGGCAAACTTAGTGTACACTGTCCTTGGGATGAGGATGGAGATAGAAATGTGGTTGGTGGGAAAGGAATAATGGGAGATGACTGTTAAAAACAGTGTAAAACAACACATGCATGATTGAGATCTAAATCAAGAGTAAAGTTTCTCTAAACTATGTGACTGATCCTCTATTGACACTTAACAGTCTCACTGAAGAGGCCTCATTCTTGGTCTGTAGAGTTCAAGGCAAGCAGGTAGCAGGCCCAACAATCCTCTACATTTCATTTCACAGTTCCCTTACTTCCCACAGTCCACATTTTTGTCCTGTGGGAAGATGTCAATAACACGGATCATAAACCCAGATCCTTTTAAGAGACTGCTTCCCTTACCCTGCCCTCAATAGTCAGTTTTAAAAATTAACTTGAAAGAAACTTTAACTTTAGGAGTCAGAAGGTTGTTGGACTCCATCTTTTCTAGCACTTCCTTCCATTTTACAGATGAGACCCAGAAGGGGCGTGAAAATAACTAAGGGCTGGGATCTTAAAGTTCCATGGTGATGGATGTTAACTAGACGTGCTGTGGTAATCATTTTGCAGTGTACACAAATATTGAATCATTATATTGTACACCTGTAACTAATATAAAGTTATATGTCAACTGTATCTCAATTAAAAAAACAAAACAAAACAAGGGTTGGGAAGAACTAATTTAGCTCCTGAGTTTTGTAAGTTCTCCAAGGTGAGATGTAAAACTTAAGGCTAATCTCGAACCCCTTAACAGGGGTTCTTTTCCAAGCTTCACACATTTAGAGTTCAACTGCACTGACAGAATTTAAGGTATTTGGATGTGTGGCGCACACAGCATGTGCACACATGTGTTCCCTTGGGCATGTTTGTGCATGTACAATATATGAATAAGGAGGAAGAGTTTGGAGCAATAGGTAGAACTAGTGAAAGAGAGGCCAGCACCTGGGGTCCATCTAGTCCAGCCGTGGGCAAACTATGGCCCATTTGAAATGAATAAAACTATTGAAAGAAAAGACCGTACCCTTTTATGTAATGATGTTTACTTTGAATTTATATTAGTTCACACAAACACTCCATCCATGCTTTTGTTCCAGCCCTCCGGTCCAGTTTAAGAACCCATTGTGGCCCTCGAGTCAAAAAGTTTGCCCACCCTTGATAGTCTCTGGGGTCCATCTAGTCTCTTTGATTTAGATATAAGTGGCAGGATCCTCATCCTACCTAGGGCATTTGAGAATGAATGGTGGAGCTAAACAACCACTGGCTTCTGTCTCTATCCTGCAAATCTGATAGTCAATGTGAGGGACTAAGATGAATGTTAATCAACTTCTTTGTTTTGTGTGTTAGATAAAGTCCAGGTTACTAAACCTCATATTACCTGATGATAACAGAATCAAAGAATATTAAGATTTACTATGCATCTTAAAGGTAAGCTAGTCCATATAAAGTAGGGACACCAAGAATGAATCCTGCTCCAATATATATTCATTATTGCTGAGAAGGGATCATTCACTAGTGCTGAGTTATATCCAATGACAGAAAAATCACTACCTTACAACACAAGATATTCCTCCCTTAGAAAATACTTTCTTACAGGGCACTTTCTTGCCTCTTGTAACTTTCAACTGATTGGTCCCACTTCTGTCTTTGGAGCCTCGAAGTCAAATCCCTTTTTTTCGTGGCAGGCCTTCAATGACTGAAGACCAAACCATGTCT